AGAGTTAACGCGCGTTAACGGCGCGCGCGTCCTCTCCACGGCTCCAGGCGCCCCTGCCTTCTCCTGGGCGGCCACTAGATGGCACCGCAGAGCCAGTCGAGGCTGTGACCCAGGCCCGGCCCCCTCCAGAGCCCGCGCCTGTCCTCCACCCTCCGAGCAGCTTCGAGCCGCGCGCCCGAGGAACCACTCGGCCACGCGTCATACGCGGACTCCCCTGGCCGGGGGCGAGTCATTTGTAATGATTCGTAAGCTACAGTCACGCTGCGCTGACATCCTCTGTGTCAAAGCCAGATCAAACGTGAATTTGTCCATGACCTGGGAGGGGGCAAGTGCATGCTGATTTTCCCCACTGTTCTTCGCAGAGACCCGCGGAAACCTGGGGGGTTGCTGTGGCCGCTTCACGGCTCCGCCAGGTGAGGCTGTGTGCTGGTCATGCTCATGAGCAAATACTGAGCATGCTCCGTGAGCCACGCACACGCGTGTTCGTGCACGGCGGGGGCAAGCAGCAAAGTTCAAAGTCCATGCTTTGAAAAGAAAAGAAAAATTATTTTTAAAAACACAAGGATGCATGGACAGCAGCGTTGGCGGGGATGCGCCCGCGCCCGGAGAGGAGGGCAGAGGACAGCCCAGCCCGGGCCGCGGCGACGCTCGCGCCTTCTCCCTCGCGGCCACCAGGCGGCGCCACGCCCGCTGACGCGTGAGCGCCCGCACTGCTGGGCGGCGCGTCCGCCTTCCCGCTCGCGAGGCCGGACACCCGTGGGGCCGCTCTGCCGCGGAGATGCAGCGCTTCCTTCCTCCCGTACGTAGCTGACTTCTGAGTCAAAATTTTCCAGACTGGATCTGGTGAGTGGCGCTTACTTACACCCCCTGCGCCCGTGTTCTTTCGAGTTGTCTGTTAACCCTATTCGTAGTTCAACCAATAACCCCCAATAACCTCCAATAATCCCCAATAATCCCCAATAACCCCCAATAACCCCCAATAATCCCCAATAACCCCCAATAATCCCCAGTAACCCCCAATGATCCCCAATAACCCCCAATAATCCCCAGTGACACCCAATAACCCCCAATAATCCCCAATAACCACCAATAATCCCCAGTAACCCCAATAACCCCCAATAATCCCCAATGACACCCAATAACCCCCGATAATCCCCAATGACACCCAATAACCCCCAATAACCCCCAATAATCCCCAATGACCCCCAATAATCCCCAATAACCCCAATAATCCCCAATAACCCCAATAATCCCCAGTAACCCCCAATAATCCCCAGTAACCCCCAATAATCCCCAATGACACCCAATAACCCCCAATAACCCCCATTTCCCAGCTAAGAGCTCCAGGTAGGACACTGTCTCGGCTCAAATGCTGACGTGGTTGCTGGACCCTGCGCGGAGCCCCGTTTTTATCAGATTCAGCAGGTGTCCGAGTTTGAACTGGGCAGTCAGGAATGTCCTCTCCGTGGGCTACAGTCTCACTTTCCGCACAGGTAACATTTGTGCGGGAGACGGCAGGGCTCGCCAGCGGTGTGCGCCGCTGTGTGAACCAGGCCACCTGGCGGTGTCACCTCTTCACACTAACTTGCTCGCGATGTGGACACCACGTGCACTGCGTTTTATTCCTCTAGTGATCCTGTTCCTCTGTTTTCAAGGCCTGTGAGTTGAGCCCTGCCTCCTTCGCGTGCTCCGTTTTCTTCTCCTGACAGGTAGCCTGGCATGTTGGTTAAAATGTCATAATTTCGAGGCACGATTCTGCTCTGCAACAGCTTGGACTTTGTCAAGTGATGTGGGACAGACTCCGGGCTGACTGCCCCGGGCGGCCGGGGAGGGAGAGAGCTCCAGGCGAATGAAATGACAGCCCCCCAGCACCGCGGGCCGCCTGGGGAGGGCCCGGGGAGGGCGTGGGGCGTCCTGGCATGGGGGGTCCTGGCCGGGCCCTCGGCGCCGAGGGGTGCAGCAACTTCCCGGGTGTCTGGCCGCGCGCTCGCCGGCAGCCTGCTGCAGCCCTAGCAGTGTAAGCTACACTGGGTTTGAAAATTCCAGGCCTGGCCATGTCAGGGCGGCGCTCAGGGGTCCCCTCTCGGCCACCTGCGGCTGAATAACCTCCTAGAGGTCACGCTCCATCTCGTGCCAACGCCCGGGCGGAGGCGCTCTTGGCTGGGGCGGCCGAGACGCCGCGTGTGCCGCGTGGAGGCGGCGTGCTTGGCCCGGCGTGGGCAGGGGCCTGGCTGGGCAGGGGAGGCGTGAGGGCCAGGGCGGGGCAGGGCTGGCCCCACGGCACCCCGACTTCCATGGACACAGTCAGAGCTACAGGGCCAGGACCCCTGCGCGGCGCGGCGCCTACAGCTGCTTTACTTTTTCTTTTTAAGATCCATCCGTGCGTGCACACAGAACGGTGTGCAGGCCAGAGGTGCGGGGGTGAGAGGACGCCCCGGGGACAGAGTGGGGAGCAGGACAGGCGGACCAATGAATTACGCTGTTGAGGGGCAGCGGGGAGACCGCGGCTCCCCTGGCGTCTCGTCTGCGGCGCCCGCGCAAGCGGTCTCCTCCCTGGAGCTGACCGAGAGCGCCGGGCGACAGACGCGCCGCTCCCGGAGCCCGGACGGCGCGGAGGGGCCAGTCCCAGCCGCC